TCTCTCTCTCTCTCTCTCTCTCTCTCTCTCTCTCTCTCTCTCTCTCGGTTTCTCTCTCAATGGTGGAAACTGGGGCTTCGAGTCACTGGCGACAAAAAATTAGGGCTTCGACTGAGTATATCTCCTTTACAGTTACTCTCTCCTTGAGTCTCTCTCCTTTAGACTTTCTTTCTCTCTCAATCCCTCTTAACACTCTTCCTCTCCCTCTCAGTACCCATCTTTCTTTTCTCTACCTCTTTCTCCATCTTTCTCTTAGTCCTCTCTCCTCTCTCGCAGTCTATCCCTCTCTCTCTCCGCCATTGTTTCAGTCCCTCTCAGGCCTCATCACTTGGATGGTTTCAAGTGTGATCGAAAATCAAGTTTCTACAATCGGTTAATGATACTAAATATCATATATTATTTACTTTTTTATAAGTTTAGACTACAAAATTTATTAAGTATGCCTAGATTGCATTTAGGACATCATATTATACATGTGTTCATCATCCAATATGGACTTTAGTCGTCTCACATGAACCCGGCATTCTACATTTAATGTACATATCCCCCGATATATCCCTGATTTCCGCAATCAGACAGAATTTAAGTCGTCTCACATGAACCCGACATTCTACATTTAGATCTGACCTTAAACTACTAGGGGTCTTAATAATTTTTTTTTAATTTTTTTCAAAGTGGGGGTCTTTAGTAACTAAACGACTAGCTTGTGAGTAGCTCCTGAACTGAAATACATTCATATGATACAAAAAATTTTGATATTAGGTCAGAAACAAGAAAATTGGACTCATCAACACAATGATGAGGATTCATTATCACTAATTGAGGCCTCTCTACAATTGCATTATCCAAGTTGTCTAACCAAAATGGGTTAGATATGGAGTATTAACACCTATTAGCACGGATATGGGTACAGGTACAAGGACGGGTGTGGGTGCGGGCAGGGGTGCTGAACACTACAAATTTGTAGAATGTAAGGTATGGGGATACGGCTGAAACTCATCAGCTGAAATAATAATTCTAGAGTAGATTTGGAAATAACCCTCTGAATATTTAGTTCTAGATTGAATATGGGTTAAAATGAATCTACCCTTGCCCAAGAAATGTATGATGAGAATTTTAAATTAAAATATGCATCATGTGATTGAGTACAAGTCTGATAAATGTATGGCTATGTCCAAGCAGTATCCAAGAAGTGTCGGGTATGGGAATTGCAGTATGGGTACGGGACATGTCGGGTATGGGAACAGCCTCATGACAAAAGTACCCATGCAATAGAGTAATACACTATGGCAAAAGAGAGTTATAATAGAAAACCATCTCTATCACTTGATCTATCAGCAGAAAATTTGTTTGAAACTTATTCTGCACTATCAACAAAAAGAAAGGCTTGCAAACTTAATATGCTAGTTGGAATGTTCAAAACTGCATCCTACCAGTCATGAATTTCAACCAATGTAACCAAGAAACAGCCTCTCCAATTAAACCAATCCTGAAGAAGGTATCATAACATATTGACCCCCTAGCCTGAAGCTTTCCCAAGCAAAATGAGCGCATGCCTCGCAACATATTAACAAAGGAAAAACCATCGAGTTTGATAATATAAACTGTGAGGAAGAGGGCGAGTGATTCCTGGGCATGGAAACAGATTCTGAAAGTTAGAGATGTGATTATTGGTATGTTAGGCTCTAATATTGGGATCATTCAGAAGATGCAGGATTGGTTCAAAGGTGATAAATTTGCGATTTCACTTGCATACAGAGACATTATTCCATCAGGTCAAAGGATGGTATGGCAATGGACTGCCTGGGGTAAGCTACAGTTCCCAAAACTGCCCTCACTCTTTGGTTAATTACTCATAATAGATTACTTAGAAAGCAAAGTCTTCAATCTGCAGGAGTTCAATTAAATATTGCTTGATGTCTATGTTCAAATTCTGTTGAAACTGAAGAACACATGCTCTTTAGTGTGTTTTCTCAGCTGAGGTTTGCAACAGGATCATGTGTTGGATTAGTTTGAAGGAGAGAAGCTGTGCGTGGAGGATTGTGTTCAATATTTTTAATCAGAACTTAACCAGGAGGGACAATGCTTTGGATGTTAAGAGGATGGTTGTTGCGGCTGTTGTTTATTGATTGTGGTTTGAAAGGAACCCCAGATTGCATTCGGATGCTGTAATGAGCCCTGAGATGATGTTTAAGAGAGTAAAATTTGTTATATTGTCAAATATCCAGTCATTATATCTCTCTTAAGTATAATGAGTAGATTGCTTCTTTGACATAGTTTTATTGAGATTGTAAATATGATCTGGCTTAGATATATACCCCTCATAATGTAATTGTCGGGTATGCCGGAGTTTTTGGATGTATACACAACGCTTGATCAATGGAAGCTTTATTCATTGATAAATAAAAAATTAATTCTTGGGTCTCAACCTGTCATTAAACCACTATGACTTGGCAGCACTTTCAGACAAAATCCCAAAAACAGAACCAAAAACAAAAGATAGTCCTTCTACAAAACCTAGCAGTCTAATTAGATAAGTTGATCTACTATTTTTCTAACAAAATAGATGGTCATGAAATAAAGGACCAAACCTAAGCACTTCCAAGATAATCAAGATTCTAGATGTGCAAGAAGATTTTCTACAAGAATGGCAGCCAATGCTAAGCAATAATACAAGTCACAGAGCCCCCATTTAGTGACATTCGAGTCCAGGAGTCAACATTAAGAATTTTGTGCAGGGAACACATTCTTCTATAAATCATCATCTAGAGAAATGGTAGTGCAAAATATATTGATGGACTTGTAGCAGAAAAAGAAGGCCTTAAACAAAGCATTAACAGTACAAGTGATAGCAATACTTATCACAAAGGTAACTCAAGAAAATAGATTTAATTGCTAAAAGCATATCATTGAATTGATAACTAGTAACAAAGTCAAACCTAAACCTACCATGATTGGATTGTCTAAGATTTCACTTCTGAAGGGAAGCTTTATGACAACATTCATGAAAGTGACATCCCAGTTTACCTTCTTACGATTAAATAGCATGTACCTGTGTGCAATATAGATGTATAGTAGAAACAATGTTAAAATGTATAGTAAAAACAATGTTAAGGAAAAACTAGAACAGGATATCACCAGAAGAAAACTCACTCAGTTTTTGATAGCAATCTAGCCGGGAAACTTCTAAGCCCATTCAGTGAATGTAGAACCTAAAGTTCAATAACAAGTTAATGAGAAACATATCTTCAACCCACATGCCACAGATTTTCTTCTATTTTTCACTTGCTAATTGAGTCGAGAGAAATCAATATTTTATTCTCCTCATCATTTCCACATTCCATTATATTTTCATAGCAATCAAACAATACATATAAAGAAAATGGATGTCGCATCAGCTGCCACCTCAACTCTCCATATTTTTTACTTCTATCATCCAAACAAGATTTGCAAATAGAAAGTCGTGATAAAACACTCTCTTTACTTTTTTTTTCCACTTACTTTTCAGCAGTCAAACTAGGTCTTCATATGGTCCGCCAAATTCATATTAGCGGCACATGTAATAATTATGAACTTACCAAAACCTGTGTACATATCATTAAAATTTAGTTGTAATGAACCATTAATTCAGCGAATAAAGTTATATAATTGCATAGCCTTATATCACTGTTATAAATAGCGGTAAATAGCCTCGCAATAGCGGCGCTAATAGCGTTAGCGGTCCCTTCCCGCGACGCTATCGCCAGCTACGCTATCGCGCAATAGCAGTGACATATTGCGGAATATGTTTGTTCGTAAAAACGGTCAATAATGTGTCATAACGATAAATAGTGAGCGATTGCATTCAAAATTTACTTTTTGACTGCTATTTAAAAGCGGTTTGAGGCTTATTTTTTTAAAATTAAACTCAACCCTTGACCATTGCATTCTACCGTCTCCTGTGATTTTCAGCATACTCCCATCACCTCTCATAGCCTCTGGCACCTACATTGATACTTCCTCTCACTTCTTTACCGTGAGCTCCTCTTAGGGCAGTCCTGTCACCGCTAAGCTGTTCTTCTCGAAGACGACGACTTTTTGACTCCTCCAGTCATCTTCGGTATTACGTGATGATTACATGTCTATTTCATGTTTAGGATCTCTTTAAATCATCCACTATGTACTTTTAGATTTCTTAGATGTTTCTTTTTTTTTAGTATTTATACATATCTAAATTAGACCGCTATTTGACTTTGCGTTTTTTACCGCTATTTTGCCACAATAGTCCGAAATAGCCTTAGCGATGCCTCACCGCTACGCGACGCTATCCGCTATCGATAACCTTGCCTTATATGAAGCCTAGGTATACAAACAGTGAAAATAAGATGTACTGTGAGTGAACCTTAACTACAGTGGGTAAACCTACGTGTTTGCTTTATCCCAAATAAATTATGTATGTCACATATAGTTTAACTAAGGTCATAGTGAGTGAACCTTGGTTTCTCACCTGGGAAGCTGTACAATTGAAACTTTGTACAACTGCACGTTCATATGAGTTCCTTATTTCAAGCTGACACATAGATTTACTATATGGAACAAGATTTTGCCATTAAAAGTTTTACTTAAACTACATGTACTTGAAAGGTTTTAGGTTGACAAATTACTGAATTTCCATGAGATAGATTCGAATGGTTTGTAGAACGTAACCGAAACTTATCAGAATTCTGAACGGAATCTGATGAAAGAATCAATACATACTAGGAAGCCTGATAATCAACAGATTAAATACCTAGAATACAACTAATCTCAGAGGAATATCAAAAAATATTTATTTTCTTTTCTATTTCGACTGAGGAACTTGTCAGAAGATTTCAGAAAATTGAAGGATATTGCCTAGCCAAAAGCTTCTTGAAACAATATACATTAATTTCAGACTAGTTATCTTTCTTAACATATGGACTACAAGGAAAGAATAAAACAAAGAAACAATATAGATTAAAGCCTACAAGTAGAAAAGTAAAATGTCAATTGCAAGTGCTTCAAGCTGGTACAATTCATTAGCAGTATCCATTCAGCTTACATATTTATTAATAAAATGAGACAACAATCATCCAGATATTAAATCAAGAAAGAAAACAGAGGGGGAAAACATAAACATGAAAGTATTCTCTTACCCTGTCTTGCTGCAACTGGAAAGATGCCATAATATTATAAAAGTGTAGTAGGTCCAAAAAGAAACCTGGTCCACAAGTAACTTCAAACGGTTGTAACATAACCTAAAAACATCATAGGCAATCAAAAGATTTAAGGAAGAATAATGATGGCAACATAAAAACATCCAAAAAGAAAAAGAACCGAGATAAAAAAAATAGCAATATTCTAGCAAATATTCTCAACTAATATTTGCAAATACCTTCACTGAAATTTCAGAAGCTTGCTTTGGCTGTAGCAGATTAACTTGAATGTCCAAAAAGGGGACTGTATGCAATGGTGAATTCTCCTCAAAGACGGCCTATGGAAGATTTGGTTTAGCAAAAATATTTAGCAAAAAGAAAGAAATTAAGAGTTTTTGAGCATATCTAAAAGAAAAGGGATCACCTCAGCCTTTAACACAAGTAGATCATCACAAGGGTTGATTATCTTCACCGACCCTATGGCAGCAAGAACGGAAACGGAATCTTCCCACACTTTAGATTCAAAATCGATCCCATCAAGTATTGCATTAGCAATAGTCCTATTAAGCTTCCTACAATATTAAATTAGAAATGACAATTAGCCAATTGAGATTAACATACAATCTAGGAAGACAACATGTAACAGAACTCGGGAACATCTGCATGATTTCTTCTTAGAAAGAGAAGTAGATGTTGCACTTTGTAGATACCAGGAGACAAATCATGCAGTAAAACATAAATATCAAATTAACATTACAAACTGCAGCTTTGCATATATATTTCAGAGAAAAAAATGTTCAAGAAATTGTCGAGTTATGAATAAACAGTAACAAAAGCACAAACTCATTTTATCACAAGATGTTTGTCCATTTATATGAGCTCTCTTCTAATCAGCTACATTCCTAATCATTCCCCTCTTAAATACTCAAATTTGCATTAAACATAACTGAATTTTATCCTTTCTTCCTAGCTATTAAGAGGATGGGAACCAACATACTCCAAAAGATCTTAGTATGAAGGCTAAACTACATGGTTCTACACAATACTTTTCCACATAATCAACACAAATGCAGACATGCCACGCCATCCACGCAGGCACTCCTGGATGCACACGCATATGAACATGTGCGGAAAAAAAAAGTCATCAGAGGGAACTATTTTTTTTAATAAGTACCAAGAGCAAAAAGTCATGATACAACCTTGTAAGTTGTACCAAGGTAGGTGGACCTCATCACTGCATCTCACGGTACCTAGGTTTGCAAAATAATACCTCCCTCCCTCTGTGCGTATGCATATGGTTGAGCTAGAATCCACTCCCTCCCTCTGTGTGTGTAATGGTTGAGCTAGAATCCACTTTAAGTGGATTGAGACTCTTATCCGCCCAATTTTTAAGCCATTGGATCCATCACATAGATTAAAATCAGATTTGATGATGTGGAAACAGATAACTCATAGAGGGGTGATTTTGGGGGGAAACTCAAAAAGATGCTAGTTTAGATTGAGATCCTTCTTACTTCTTCGCAGCAGAGAAAAAACCGCTCGAGCGCCTCAGATGCCCCATCTCCTTTACCTTCAGCCATGAGTGCCTCTCCTCGTCACCGCCTGTTGCAAGCGCCTCATCCCATTCCGCAAGCATCAACAAGATGAAGAGCGCATCTTTTCTAATCTGATTTGTGCAAGTTGAATCGTTGAGATTATAAGTCTTTCACCCAATATAAAGTTTAATTTCTTATGGTATAATTTCTTGATTGCATAGTTTGATGGTTATATCCTTTCCCAAGGACATGGCGAGACACATGGTTTTCTTTGGGTCAAAGATGCAAAAGGCCCAAAGAAACTGGAAAAGAGGTTGCTGATAATGGCGGTTTGGGTGAGTACAAACTTTGAGAATTATTGGTGTGAGCTTTCATGTTAGTTTGTTGTGATTGTCCTTTTGACTCTAATTATTTGAATTTATTGTGTAAGTTAGGTGTTAAATTACTTACGTAGTTAGATTTAAGTAAATAATAAAATTAAGTTTCAATTGATCTGTTTTCTCAATGGTATTGCATTATTATTTAGGTGTTAAATTATTTACGTACCCATATTAATTTTATGTCATGTCTAGAGGGCAGTGTGAGGGAGCCCAAAGAGAATTTGCGTCGGGGTGGCACGATGCCGGGGTCCAACAAGCGGCAAGTTCCCCGCTTTATCCTTTGTTGACCTTCTGTTAACAAGATAAAAAGGAAATAGGATATCGAAGTGATATTTTCTACCTTATTTAACTTTATTACCTCTCATTCTATAATTGTATACCAACTCATTAAATTGATTTTGATCAGTCAACCCAATCCGATGGCTAAAAACTTGGGTGGACAAGAGTCTTTATCCACTTAAGTGGATAATGTTACATTAAACGCTGGGCGCTTCTAGGTGTCGGACTTGGCGCCCAGCGCTTAGTCGCCTAGGCGGGCGCCTAAGCGGTTTCTGGACGTTTTTTTCCTTTCTTTATTTAAGTGGTGGTCGATGAGGTTTTGCTGAAGGTCGGAGGAGGTAGTGGAGGTGTTCATATTTGGAGGTTAATGGAGTTTGGAGGACGTGTAGGCTACGACACCTAAAATCACAATCAAGGCACGTGTAGGCTACGACACCTAAAATCACAATCAAGACCTACAGGGTGCAATCCACGTAAGCTGACAATGCTCCCCTAAACGCTCGTAAAATCTAGGTGGGCAACCTAAATACCGCCTAGGCACTAGGCGCTAGTTAAGCGGCCTAGGTACCGCCTAAGCATAGGCGTACGCCTAAGCGGACTAGGCGGAGGTTTTTTAAAACAGTGCACACACATATGGTAAGATTTCTAAGGTATTACTTGGGATTCAACTAAAGGATGCGCCTTCAAAACTACGTTATATATAATTAATTACTTGATCCACTTTGTTCATTTTGATTTACATGTTTTGGATGGTATAATAAACAAAAAAATTAGGCAAGTTGGATTATAATTACAAATGCATCAAATGATTGTAAAATTAACGGTTTTACGATAATACAACTAAGACATAATACAAAATGTGTTAGAAGTATTGAAAATCATGACTTTTTATTTATACATGTTTTAAGGCATTTATATCATGATGAATTGAGCTAATCATCCTTTGGAATAGTCTAATCCATGCATAAAGAGATAACTCCTTAGATTGAATTGAATGTGACACCTTGGGAACATTTTCACACAGAGAGACACACACATATATATAGAGAACTATGAGTATGCTTGGTACCAAACACAAACTTGGTACTTAGTAGTGAATTGGCTCATCTCTAGCCACACATTTAAAAGTATTCACTTGAAAATGGTTCTCACTTATTTACTCACGCATTGAGTAAATGGATGAAAAGTGGTCACTTCACTACCAAGCACCAAATTTGGTGCTTGGTACCAAGAATGGCCATTACTCACACACGTACATGTAGAACATATAGAGAGATGGGTATCCTTGGTAACCAGCAACAAAATTTGGTATTTGGTAATTACATGACTAGTTCTCATCCACTCATTAAAAGTGGAGATCATTTTCAACTGGAGTTCCTAATTAATAAGGGATCATTTTCAAGTAATTTGAATGAGTGGGTGAGAAGGAGTCATCTCACTGCCAACTACTAAGCTTCTGCTTAGTACCAAGCATACT